CTTGTTTCTAAGTGATAGAAGCTTTGCCCACCTTATATTCTTTTTAAGTATTTTTTTCAATTTGTAATCATGTGTCGGTGTGCACCAGTTTGTGTGAGGATATGTAATGTGAGGATATGTAATGTGAGGATATGTAATGTGAGGATATGTAATGTGAGGATATGTAATGTCAGTGGCCACAGTTGTGAGCCACCCAATATACTGGGAAAAGAACTCAAGTCCTCTGCAAAAACAATACACACTCTTAGCCACGAAGCCATCCAGCCTGATTTTATCTTCCCAAGGGGCATCTTTCCTGTGCAATACCTGGGTCCTAGAAGAGGTGGTAAGTGCCCACCTGTATGGAACTCTGACGTGACTAGCATTTATTTCCTGTTTGCAGTAGGTTTATTTCTCATGTAGCAGAAATATTTTTCATTATTGTATTTGTGCCATGGAAGCAGTAAAATGCATATAGTTGGTGCTTACTTCATGTTTGTAGAATGAAGAAGTGCTAAGAACTAAAAGAAAACAGAGGTACCCTTAACTTGAAGATCCAACTTTTAGTTAGCTCCCAGAAAACAGTCGAGCCTTCTGTTTGCTCTACTTATCTGGGACTGTGAATCCAGCACGTTGGTGAATCCAGCATGGTGGTGAATCTAGCACGGTGGTTTTTTCCTGACACCCTTGGCCACATTCTCACCCCCCTCATTCTACTCCTAAATCTATGGTGCCTCTGTGTAACACTGGGTTGCATAGGTCCAGCTGTCTTTTTAATAAACGTGTGCCACCTAGTGATCAAAAGAGTAACTGCAAATTTTAATGGCTCCAGAAAGCAGCTTGAGTAACCATGATAACAAACCAAACCATAATGAACTTTCTCATATTTCCCCTCATTGTCCCAATGGAGGGACATCGTATCTGTGTTTACTTCTTCTCAGCATCTACCTAACACCTATGACCGTTTAGAGCCCAGGCAATAGAGTTCCTCTATTAATAGATCTCTGATTATTAGGTAAGATTCTTACTAAGTGCTCTCACAGCAGTGATAGCTTAGTAGAAGCTAATTTGAGTCACACCTTTTGTGCTTGTTGGTGTGATTATCAGAGTTTGTTTAGTTTTTGGTTACCAGACTAACATCTATAAGGACACAGATACCTGCTCTTGCTAATTCTTGTGCCTCAGCGTATAGCCTAATGCCTGGCACAAAAAGATGGTTCTTAAGTCTTCATTGAGTTATTGAATGGACATGTGCCCCTCTGTGCCTCAGGAACACTGAAGAGGCTGATGTCAGCCAGTTTCATACTCAACAAAACTGTACTAGATGATTTTACATCAGCTTGACACAAACTAAAGTCATCAGGGTGTAGGGAACAGTAACTAAGAAAATGTATCCATAAGATCGGGCTGTAGGCAAGCCTGTAGGACATTTTCATAATTAGTGATTGATGGGGGAGGGCCCATCACATTGTGTGGGTGGTACCATCCCTGGGCTGGTAGTCCTGGGTTCTATTAAAAAGCAGACTGAGCATGTTATTAGGAACAAGCCAGTAGGCAGCACCCCTTCATGGCACCCCTGCATCAGCTCCTGCCTCCAGCTTCCTGCCCTGTTTGAGTTCCTGTCCTGATTTCCTTCAGTGATGAACAGTGATATGGAAATGTAGGCCAAAAATACCCGACTTGCTTTGGTCATGATGTTTCATCACAGCAGTAGTAACCCTGACTAAGACAAGAACCTACCTGCTATATATGCAAATATTTATTTGTTCAGGAAATATCAACTGCATGCATTGAAGGAAGGATAAGCCTATATTAAAGAGTAAAATCATGTACATATTTTATTTAGCTTATTAAGTGTTCTGTTTTGCTTTCAGTTGCTGTGATAAACCAAAAGCAACATGGGGAGCAAATGGTTTATTTCCACTTACAGGTAACAATCTATCACAGCAGAGGCCAGCAGGAGTTCATTCAGGAGCCTGAAGCAAAATCACGGAGGGTGCTGCTTACTGACTGGTTCTCAGGCATGCATTCAGTTACCTTTCTTATATTGCCCAAGTCCACCTCCCCAGGTGTGGCATGGGCAGAGCCTCCTGCATCAATTAACAATTAAGAAACTGCCCCCTTAGACATGCCCACAGGCTAATGTGAAGGAGGCAGTTCTTCTGTTTCTTCTTCCCACATGTGTCTGTAGTGCAACTAATGGAAACCTCTGTGGGTGGGAAGACAGGAAGTTCCTTCTTTAGGGGGATATGGCCAAGGGCAAATTCAAGGTTAAAGTTTCCCACCCAGAAGTATGGTACTCAATACTGAGCACTGTGACAGCAAGGTTTCACCTCTGAATGCCATTATCCATTGGAAAATCCAAAGTTCTCTTCTGAGGTCATGTAAGAGAAGACATGGGCCTGCTTCAATAGGTAAAAGGCAGATGATTTAAAAATTGTAAACCTTATATTTGAAACATTGAAGCATGTGTAGTAATAAAGGGAACATTTTAGAAATCCTCAGATATTCTTTATATAGCTTTAGCTATATCAGTGATGAGCTCAAGGCCAGTCACCTGTACTGAGTTATTTTCAAGGAAAGACCTAACAGTGTATCTTTTAACCTATGACTTTCTTAAGATGTGTCTCTTGAAGATAAGCACTTTTTAAGTCAAAATTCAAAGATAGAATATTTTGAACACTAATAATAATTGGTGGTTTGAAATGTACTAAATATATACAAGCCATGACAATATTAAAATTAACCTGATATTGTCCTCAGTTTAGAGACTCCTGGGGCAGTGACTCATTACTCTCGGAAATAAAGAGCACATCAACAACGTCTGTGCTTTTTTTTGTCTGTATCTTATTGTATTTTAATATAGTGCTAAATAGTAAAGTTTTTTTAATAGAATGCTAACAAATAAAAAAGGAATACACCATAAAATAATAATGCTAATGAAAAATGGACCTGCCAGTGGTTATGACAGGTGAATGGAACCATCAAGTGAAAAATTGAAGTAAGTTGAAATGAGTGACTAGGCAAGCCACACCCAAAGCCGTGTTAGCAAAATTGAACATCACATGCCTACCAACATGCACTATAAAGATGTACGTCAGCACCATGATGGATGCTCGCCAGAGACAAACGTTAGTCAGCTGGAAATGGAATCTGACCACCACAGAAACTGCCAGCTTTCAGGAAATGAGGGTGGGATATCATGTTTGAAGTCACAGCTGGCACAAAGGAAAGGGGACAGTGGAGAGTGTCCCAGGAGACTGAGGACATGGCAACCACAGGCAGCACTGACCTGTGTAATTCTGACCCACAAATAAAATGTACAGATATAGCCTGTATGATGTAAAAGGTTAAAGGTTATTGGTAATTTGTAGATGTTCACAATTTTTAAATTGTGATGATAAGATATCTTGGAGCTACAAAGATGGTTTCAGCAGCTAAAAGCCCTTCTTGGAGGACCCGGGTTCGGATCCCTGAAACTCTGTGGAGGCTCACAGTTGTCTGTAACTCCAGTTTCAGGGATCTGACACCCTCCTCTGACCTCTACAGGCACCAGTTATGCAGTGGTACACATACATACATACATACATACATACATACATACATACATACATATAAACACTCATATACATAAGATAAAATAAACCTTTAAAAACAAATATGTGTTAAAAATACATACCTAGGACTGGCATGACAGCTGAGCAGGTAAAGGTACGTGCTGCCAAGCCTGATGATCTGAGTTCAGTTCCAAGAACCTACAAAGTAGAAGGTCAGCACCAACTCGCACAAGTTGTCATCTATGAAATGCATATTGTGAAATGCATGTGCATACAAACAAATTAGTCAGTCAACATGAACATTTTACATTTTAGAACGTCTGTTGAATACATAATATAGTATTTTCAGGTACAAATGATAAATCGTTACTTTTAAGATCTTGTTCTTGAAAGTGGGTTCCTCAGATCCAGCACCAGGATCATCTAAAAATGTTACAAATGCAGGAATTTGGGCCCCCAAACTCCAAAACCACTGGAGATTACCAGAGTCTACATTTCTCAGTGTTAGAAACCACCTAGTATTATATATGTATTACACACACACACACACACACACACACACACACTCACACGCACATTTAGAATTGAAAATACTCTCTAAAAGACTTAGGAGATGTGATAGGGTAATAAAATTGGCAACTCTTTTTTTTCTTTTTCAAGTAGTTGAAAATTCATAATAAGCATAGGTACAAACATATCAATAATTAAATTATTTGTGAATGAACTAGAAATTCCATTGAAAAGATACAGGTAACTAGGGAAAGAAACTCTAAGAGAATACTCCAGAGGCTGTTTGAAACAAGGCAATGAAAACTTAAGAAAACTCTAAAATGTTAAGAGGAACAAAAATATATCAGAAGATTACTAATGAAGGGAACTTGACACAGCTATGTTAATCTGAGACAAAACATTTTATGGCAAAGAAGCATTATTAATATAAAGATACTACTTGATAATGGTAAAAGTTTTAATTTGTGAGAAAGATATGAAAATCTAAACTCATAATTTCATTAACATAAGTCCAAAATATACTAGACAAAAGTATATAGAACCATAATGAATAGAATACCCATAGTCATAGGGGTAAACATTTATCTGTTTAATGATTTTTGTGGTGCAGTATAAGGTTCATAGAATTCAAACGAAAGTTTGAAGTAAAACTTGGCAACTCTTGATGGTTCTTTTAAAAAATGTGATAGTTGCATTGTTGCTGTGTGGTGTGATCATCCACATGTGAATCTATTTCCAGTTATTACTTGCAAAGCTAGGAAGTGTTGATTCTTTTTTAAATGCTTCTTTGTTCTGTTTTTCCTTGTTCTAATTTGTCAGGTTAGTGGATGACATTCAAAGCTTTGAAAATATATTTCTAAATATTTCTTATAAAAATCATATTGTTCTTTTAAAATTACTAAAGAAACATATTTCAAATCAGTAACTCAACTTATTGTCACTGTTTCTCTCCAGGCACACTTGAAAAGGCCTCGTAAGAGCCTTGAGGGTACGCTGGATGATGAGGATGACGACATTGAGAGGGCAAGCAAGTGAGTCCAGCGCTGCGGAACCCTATCTCTGGCTTGGTGTCTGCTCCCTCACAGTGTTCACCAACAAACAGAAATGGCACTCCTTGCACCACTGTGCAGAATGAGGCTTAGGACAGGGGCGGGGCATGATAGACTTGAAATGTCCTGTTCTTGGGAAGCATAGGTACCTACACAGGTGTCCAAGGAGTGGAAACAATGGCACAGATGAGCATGAGGTCAAGTTCTCATCCCACACTGAACAAAACAGGCGAAATAAGGACAGTGATATCAGTCAGTCAGACTGGGCCCGGGAGGGCTTGAGGGGAGGGTACCATCACAGGAAGGAGATTTACAACAGTTACTTGATACAAAGTATGGAAAATTGTAGAACCTTCATTTTTTAAAACAATTTAAAGTTACATAGTAATAAAATGGACATTCTGCATATGAAATAAATCTGTCTACATAGGAGAATATTTATTCTTCTGTAAAACAAATAAAATAAGAAAAAGACAACCATATAAAATATGAAGAGTATACTTGGAATGTTGCAAACTTTCTAAGTGTTCAATCTAATTTTTCTAGGAAATCCCCAGATCATATAGCATGAGCCTAATGGAAAGTTCGGCTTCTGATTACTAAACCATGACTTTGTGTTTATTTGCTCTTAATGTGTGTACTTAAGCTTTTCAGTATTTAAAATAGATATATACATAACTGTAGAGACTTGACTATAGACTAAGTTTTATTTCTGTCCTTTGTCCCTGCTTGTCCTTCAACCCTCTCCTCTCTGTTTCCTCATTTCTTCCTTTCCTCCCTGTCTTCTGTTTCCCTCTCCTTTCCTTCCCACTTTTCTTCCCCTACTCCCCTTTCCTTTCCTCCTCTTAACCCTTCCCCTCCCCTTTTCCTGTTTTCTTTCTGTAACCTAGACTAGCCTCACAATCCTCCTGCCTCAGCCTCTAGGCTGCTGGGATTAAAAGCGAGCATGCCCCCCACCTTCAGTTGTGACTGGGTTGTTTTGCTGACTTAGCGAGGGAGGGAGCTGAGCCTCAGCTTGTGCTGACTGCTCCCTCCTCCGCTTTGTGTCTGCTTTCAGGATATCTTCTGAAGACGGTGAAGAGACATCTGTTTGTTTCTATGAAAGTGACGACTCTGCTGAAGCACAGGTGAAGGCGCCTTACTCAGGTGAGATGGACTTACTGGGCGAGATCCTGGACACGCTGAGCACACACAGCTCTGACCAAGGAAAGCTGGCACCTGCAAAGAGCCTGGACTTCTTCAGATCCATGGATGACATTGATTACAAACCTACGGTTAGTTGAGCTTAACTTACAGAGTTAATGGAGACACTCTTGCCCTTGCTGTGGTCGCTCAAGCAGATAAATCAACTTAGTTTATATATGCATTTTACATCTAGGTAGGTACAAAAACTTCAAACTATAGTAAAAAGTGTAATTCTTATGGCTTAGCTCTGTGGCTAAAGCTGCCGCAGTAGTCACTGCCCTGGTGTTACCAGGCAATGCTCCCTTCCAGGCATATTGGTGTTTAATTTAATATTCATTCTTGTGAAAACCTTTTTATGTGAAATATTCCTGTTTTTATAAAAATTCCTGAGTTTTAAAGAAATACTATAATTAATGTCTTAAAATCTTTTTGTTTCTATTTTCTTGTTTGAAAAGTGAATAGTTTTAAATGAACCAAATTAAGCTCTTTTAAAAAAAAAAAAACTTGCAGTAGAATTATATGCAGTGGGTCCTTTTCTGACAGGAGAACCAAAAGTTCTGTGTAGATTTGACTGTGACAGGTGACAGTCTAAATGCATGGAAACCAGAATTTGTGGTCCCCACCCTACACTCCTTCATTCCTCTTCATGGAGCAGGCAGGAGCTATCAGAATTCAGTCAGTGCTCCCCTACCCCTGGGGTGGGCTCAGGTCCCTGATGAAACGTGACAACCTTACTTTCAAAGCAGATTCCAAGTTACTAAAGAATCACTGTAATTTTACTCTAAGTATTCTGAAGTTGTTATTTCCCTTTCCAGAACAAGTCCAACGCTCCCAGTGAGAATAACCTGGCCCTACTGTGTGCTTCTGGCGATCAGGGAGAGTGGAATCTCGGGCAGGATGACAGCGCCCTCCATGGCAAGCATCTGCCTCCATCCCCCAGGAAGCGAGTTTCCTCCAGTGGGTTGACAGATTCTCTGTTCATCCTGAAAGAAGAGAACAGTGAGAAGCCCCTCCATGCTGACAGTATAAGTGGCCTCACTGTGGTGGAAAAGCCAGCTTCTCCTTCAGGATTGGGTTCCCAGCCAGCTAACCTTGAAGCTTCCCAAACGGATAAAGGAAAACCGGAAGTGCGGCAAACACTAAGTCAGGCTTCAGAGGATCTGCTGGTACTTGGCCCTGGGAGCCGCCAGTCTATTTTTGTTCCCTGGGAGAAAGCTGGGAAAGAGGATAAGAAGCCTTCAAAAGATGTTGGCCTTCTCCAAGAAGTAGTGTCATTGTGTCACATGTCATGTGACTTCCAACAAAGTTTAAACATTTCAGAAGAAAGCAGAAGTGAAAACCAAACTTAAGGTACCAGTAGAGGGTCAGTCTCTTGCCTCTTGGCTTCTTCAGAGACCTGTGGAATTACTTCCCCGTGATGGGAACAGTAAAGAGAGTCACTGGCAAGAATGGCAACCCTTAACTGCTGTTTAGTTGTTTTCCCTGTCTGTTCATCTCATGGATCTATATTACCCACTGGTTTCCCAGCGTAAAATGAATTCTACTGTGCTGTTAAATCAGGTACTAATTTGTACATAGGCTGAAAATGTGTTTTGAACTTAAGCTTTCCCAGTATTTGGTGCTTAATGCTGTTCATTTTATTTAAACTAAGTGTGCATATATAACCCCTACATATAGCCAGTAGTTACTGTACTAATCTGGCTGAGCATGAACTGATCAAGATGTCAAAACTGATCAAAAATAGCCTGACACTGATGAACCTGTTAACCCACTAATTGCCTTAATCTTCCAGTCATGTTAAGCATACAGATAACATATGATGCCACATACAAAGCTTGAAAGAGGAATTACCTTGTCCTGCAGAGCAATAATGCCTTTTTCTACCATGAATTAAGCTCGCCATTCTTTTCAGGTTTAAATGCAGTCTAGCAGAAATAATTTGCTTTTTATAAAGACATGTAGCCATGTTTTCCAAACAACGTGAATGTGTATATTTACCTTTCAGTGAACTATATTAAGTGCTGAATTACAATGTGAAGTTAAAAGCTTCTGCTTACAAAGAAGCCCCTCAGACAACGTTCGATCTCATGTCCATGTTAACTATGGTCCACCTCCAGAAAGCCAAATGCCCTGCAGAGTCCAGATAGGCCTTTATCCTGTTCCTCTTGTAACTGACGTGCTGTGAAGATGCTCGTAGCCTTACCTTGTGTTTGCTTTTTTAAATAATTAACTTTGTATTATAAATGTTCTAGATTTATAGGAAAATGCAAAGATGGTACTGAGTTCCCATCTGCCCTGGACCCTGCCTCTGCTGTTGTAGCATCCTAAGTTAGTATGCTGCATTTGCCATACTGTTGACTCGCGCATGGTATTCAGAGCTCTGGCTGTTCCCTGCTGCCCCCTTTCTGTCCCCTTGTCCCCTCAGAGTTCTAAATTACCTTCTATGATCCTGTCTGCTGGGGTTCTTCCTCACCCTAGCACTTTACTTTCTTGGTTTTGATGGCCTTGAAGTTTTCAGGAATATTAATGAGATGTCCAGCTCCTGTAATGTATGCAGTATTTTTCTCATTATTACAGGAGGTTATAGGTTTGAGGGAGAAGATCACAGAAGAAAAGTGCCATTTTCACAGTGTCTGAAGGGGTGTGCTGCAAGCATATGCCATGTCCTGTTGACATTGAACACTGGCTGGGGTTCTCTGCTCTGAATGTGTTCCCGCACCTTTTCTGTGCAGGGAGAAACGGAGGGAAAGAAGAGAGGGAGGGCAGGCACAGAGAATTATTTAGGGCAGAGAAGTATCAGAATCCATCCTTTGTAGTTCTTTATGGAGCCTGCCTCCCTCACAATTACTGTTTAGCTTCGGGGCACATCTGAAAGCCCATGCAGACCCCTCATGCTAGATGTGCAGGTAGTTTGTTTGAACATGCCATGTGTCTAGTCTATTCATCCTCAGATGTCATGATTGCTTTTCAAGAACTGTCCTTTTTTAGTAAAAATGAAAAAAAGATTGCAAAACCATTGAACTCCAATAAGGCCATATTCTAAAGTATTTACTTAAGGAATATAATTTTACCGAGAATTTAAAGAAATTTGTTTAACATAGTCCTTAAAATATTTACACAGGTCAGTTTTACAAGCTGCATTCCAAAATATAAATAGGTAGTCTTACTTGAGGTAATGATTCCCTCATTTGTAATGGATGATAGAGCTTGTCTGTATGAGGATGGGCTCGTTCTAGAAGGTTATATTTAATCCTTATTTTTACATAATAATAATATGCAAGGTTGTGAGATTTTGCCTGTACGTGTTCTTCATTAGTCCCAATTTACTGAAATAACAGGAAAGCCACACATCGAAAGAGCTGATTTCAGTGGGCAGAGGAGAAGTTCGCGCGGTAGGCACACTGCTGGGCAAGCATGCCCACAGGAGTCCTAAACAGAGTTTTTAATGCCATTTTTCAAGTGAGGTCTCTGTTTTCACGTCAGAATTCATTGTCTAAAAAATGAGACCATCCTGACTGCAGCTTAAAACACTGGCTTCCAGTCCACTTCCTCGATAGTCCCATTGCCACAGGCTCATGGTTCTCTTGCTTTGAGTCAGCTTGTGAGATGTGCCACTGTAACACTAGGCTATTAGGAAACATTTATCCACTCACAAATAAGGTCTTAAGCCACTTAAGTGATCTGTGCCTTACTGTAACAAGCAAAAACAGCTACTTCATGTTAAAAAGAAAAACCAAAATTGTACACATTATTCTTAAATATCCAGAAAACTGGAAGCCAGTGGGTGCTTCACACGATTACAACCTTGAGTATTTGAAGTGGGCTTTTAAAGGAGACTTCCCAGTATTATGATGGAAATAGTAGAAAAAGTAAGAGACCATAGGTGAGTTCTGAAATTTAAAAAAAAAGGGGGGGTAGTATTTTTGGCTTTGTCCAAACCAAACCCAATGTAAAGTTCCCTGCTATTGAAAATAAATGTTTCTGCTTGCACTGTCATTTTAGATACTGAGCGCCAACAAACTGGAGCTCCCATAATGAATATTTCAGAGAAGCTGCTTCTGCCCTACAAGACACTTGAATAACTCCCAGCTCTGGCTCCCACATCTTGTGCTTTCTATGCCTTTAAACCGAACCCCAAGCTGTGACTTGTCTTGAGTCTCTCTCAGGCTTGGCGGGTCAGGGGCTAAAGATAGAAGGCCAAATGTTGGAGCTGCAGTTTTGTTAAAGTGAAGATGTTGCCAAGTAAAATATAGGGGTGATTACCTCTTCTAGCCTATCTTACATATCAGATGATGGCACACTTACTTTTCCAATTCAAAGTTAGTAACTCCTTCACTGAGAAAATATTTATTGACTTTCTGTACCAGTCAGGAGCAAGGTATAATAATTAAGGATGTAAGGGTATGGGAGGAAACAATTACCCAGCTCTGAGGATTCAATTAAAAGGGAAAGGAACTGCAGATGTTAAAATAATAATTAGTAATAATAATAATAATACAGTAAGGATGTATTTGCTTAGATGGTACTCACTCAAGAGTCAACACCAAGGGATGCTTTTTAAGAACAGCTGCTGTATTTAAAGTATGTTCTAACTACAGAGTCATTAACTCTTTTAGTAATTATGTCAGCCACTAGAAGCCTGCTAAGATCCCACCTTAAAGGACAGTTTTAGAGGCACTGCTTGACTGAGTCCTTGCTTTGACCATCCACAGGACATGACGTCGTCCCTCTGCAGTATTGATAGCCACTTCCGCCAGCTCAGGAGTGACTTAGGGTTTATAAAGGAAGAACCTAGTTGTGTTGATGGGAGTCCAGATTTTACATTAAAAGAAAAAATTGGTAACAACATTTTCAAGGTAGCTTTTTCTTTCTTAGCTAAAGATGTGACTGTTATTATTAAGATCATATGCTGATATCTAATGATGTGACCCAGAAATGCCCAGGAAGTAGTTGTTGGTTAAAGGGAAGATTTCCTGGTCAACAGCAAATGACTGGATGCTCTTGCAATCAATACCCATCCATTCTCTGCTCAGATTTCCAGGACAAGTTCATTACTTTTATGAGTAAATTGTCTCCTGAGAGCTCCACTCTTGGAGGTAAATGAGTCTTCGATCTGAGAAGATATTTGAAAATCAGAATAAAAATTCAAAATGGAAAATGAATCTCTAAATGGAGGATCTCCCCAGGCATCTCTTAATGTAGGTAGTCATTTTTTAAGCAAGCCAGTTCTCTATGAGCGTTTTCCCACGTTGAGCCCAGAGTTCTATTAGTGTCTGTTTTTTAAAGCTTCAAGGACTAGAAAGGCTTTCCAATAGCCAGTTGATGTTATGATTTGTTTATAGAATAGGGAAGTATGTATATTTGAGACAGAAATATTTTATTTTGAAACATAGGATTCTGTGCAATATTTTTCTTGCATTGTTTAGTTTATATAAATATGCACATCTGCTTTTCTCGCAGATGCCTTAAGGTCATGTCTTTCAGTATTTGCCTAAAACTGTATGTAGCAATGTTCTATGTGACTTCAGAAAAAAATTACTCTCTTTATTGTTAGCAGAAGTGTTCTTGTTTATTTAAAATAATTGTGGAGATTGCATTATTGTATCATAACTAACTGCCTCAGCCACAATAAATATGCAATAAGAAAATCATGTTCCTTTGATTAGTATTGACAGTACTGTTACTTTAACAGAAATGTTTGCGGTACAGAGTGCTGGTTCTATCTGTGTTCATTTAACAGCTACTCTGCAGCATATGAATCTAAATGGTATATTTATGTGATAACCATGTATGTAGATTATGACATCCTTTGTGATGAGTCTTTGTTGAGGCTTATAAAGGGCATTGCCAATACTTTTTGACTGTAAATTAATTTTTTGTATGATGTATAGTTTGTTTAGCCTTAGAGCTTCTATAAATTTCTACTTTTATTATACTTGAATGAGGCAGAAAGCACTGTGGGCAGTTTGTAACTCCGGATGCAATATGCAGATATACCAAAAATAAAACAAGGTACTGAACAGCAACGCTAACAGAATGCTTTATAATCCAGGAGTCCGTGTTTTTCAAGCCACATTTTAGTGAAATGAAGTAATTGAAGATATACAATCTTTTATCTAGACTGTATAGTCTCAAGTGATTACCTCTTCGATGTGTTAAAGGTGTGTGTCCTTTTTAACTTCTGTATCAGTCCTTAGATGAGCCTTGTCGAGGATTGTCCATCCTTCCTTCTCAGACCACGTGATGTCTAGGACAGAACAAATCAACTACATTGTGCATATTAGATGCACTGTCTGTGTGAAGTCACTGTGTTTTAGATAGAGTAGCTTTCATAGGTACTTTTGAGAACACTTTAATAATCATATACCAAAAACTAAAAACTAAATTTTTAAAATCAGTAGCTGTGCCTAAAATCTCTTAGACATAAAGGCCACATGAGGGACTCAGGATTGAATATTTCCACAGTTTGTGTTCATTCCTTTAGCTGAAGAGTTGTTTGCTCAACATATAACCAGTAGTTCAAAAAAACAAAACTAAGTAAAACAAAACAAAAACCATGAGCAGCAAGACAGTGGGATGTGCTTCATTGTTCTTGCCCTTGCAGCTACAGTTTATCATCTCAGAGCTTGATTACTATTGGGAAGATGTTCTGTATAAAAGTATTGCTTGGGAGTTTTTTAAATATGCAAAATACAATGATGAATGAACTTTGCTTTGCCATAAAGTACCCAACAATGTCGTTGAAAATAAAATTGGTCACAATCAAACATTGTGTGGTGGTGATGGCTCTTCTAACTAACCAGCTGTCCCCTGTCCTGATACTGGAGAAGGGCACTGCCGTGTAAACTTCACCCTCATTCTTTTCTGGATGCCCTGTGTGGGCGGTACCTGTCCAGTTTGGAACGTCTTCTTGTTGCTGTGGCAAAATGGCTGACACAGTAACTTGAAAGGAGGAGACGGAAGGTTTACTGTAGCCCATGGTTGCAGGGATATTAGTCTGAAGTCCTGTGTGATAAGGCAGAGTCATGGCAATGGGATCATAGGCTGGGGGCTGCTCACCCAGGGCAAAGAGCACAGCATAGTAAATGCAGGAAGAGGACACACCTCATATACCCCAAGGATGCAGCCCCTGCCACCCGCTTCCTCCCTACATAGCAATTGGCGTGAGATTCTCTGTTCTCCCAATAATCTATTCAAAGTTTGAATTCAAAGGATTATACTACCCACTAGGTTAGAGCCATTGTGATCAAATCATTTGTGGAAACGCTCTCACAAACTCACCTTTAGATGCCTTGCAGGCCTGGGCATTTCCCACCAGGTTAGCAATCACGGAGACTTTTACAGGTTAAAGGTTCTCAGGCCACCGTGGGCCGAGCTCCAGGACCTGAAAGGTGAATTTCTCATCTGTGAGCTGCGTGGATCCACACAGAGCAGAGGTGAGGTTTGTGTCAAAATAAGCATGTTTCCCTTTGGGCTCTAAATTTATAGGAACAATATGTAGAACTTCTATTTCAACGTGAAAAGAAAAAGTTCTGAGAGGGGAAAGATATACCTGGCAAGCCTGGAGTTTCCTCCAGTTTTTGGTGACTTTGGTTACCTTGGTAAGATGAGTCTCGGTACTTAATGGTGCCTTTATATGGAAGAAGGTCATATAATCTATATATTCAGAAACTAAAAGCTCTAACTTGTCATTGTATATAAATAAAAGAATCTCCTCTCAAAGTACTAAATAATGGGCCTGAGAAGCTCAGAGCCCAGTAATACCATGATTTACAAGTCATCAGAAGTACTCGCACGGAGAGTGACGCTTAATACACCATCCAAGGCAAATAGAAACCTCTTGGCATAGCCTTTTATTTGGGCCTGTCTGTCTCTTTGCCCTGGAGTGAGCAGCCCCCAGCCTATGAGCCCGCCATCAGGACTCTGACTTATCACACAGGTCTACAGACTGTTTATTACAAAAGTACCTGTTTTTAGAATTATTTAATATTTCTTGGAAACCTCTATGTATATAGTTACTAATGTATGTGGTTTAGGGGATTAAACATATTCCTACATATCCACTTAAGTTTAAATTTCTGGTCGTTTGGAATATTCAAGTATAAAATATAATTATAAAATCATAGATTTTATCCAATTCAGACTTTAAAGCAAAGCACAGGTGGATCTACAATCTCTGGAGTAGACCCCATAGGTGGTGCACTACAGAGATGAGCTAACTGTGACACATACATCAACAACATCCTAGAAGTACTACAGCACTAAGTAACCAAGCTGAGATGTGACCCCAGTGTGCTTTCAGCCCTTTGATGGTCAGAGCTATCAACTTTCAAAGCCTAGACTCTCTTAGAGGAAGGGCCTTTGGGCATGTAGGGATGTCATCATGATTATAGCAGGGAAGACCCACCTGCTATGGGGTGGGGCATCCTTCCCTGGTCAGAGGATCTTGGGCTGTGTGTGAGTCAAGAAAGCCAGCTGAGCCCTTAGTGTGCATGCGTTCATTCTTCTTTCCTCCTGACTGACATAACAGGACCAGATCCTGTCAGCTCCTGCTGCTCTGACTTCACTGCCATGGTGGAATAACCTGTAACTGTGAGCTAAAACAACCCTTTCTCCCTTAAGTTACTTTTGTCAGGATATTTTATCACAGGCACAGGAAACAAAAGACGTGCCCCAAGACTATTACATCACAGTGTTGGACAGAACACAAAGATCCTGTCTCAGGGACTTTGCTGAAAACTTCTTTTCCTGTCTCAACATTTATTCCCCCTTAAGTGTTGGACAACCCTTCATGACAGGAACACTGCACATTTTAACAAATCAGTATTGAATTTCCTGATTGTTATTTTTTTTTTGAAACTGTATTGTTTGGCTTTTTTCTGTTTTCCCTCTTCTCACACTCCCTGGCTGGGTGCCTAATTTTACCTTAATCATGCATGCTCTCCTATCTTTCTCTGTTCCTCTAAAAGCTTGATTTTATTTGGAGAATGAAAGCAAGAAGCCCTGCCTAGAACAGACAGGATACCTGCTGGAGCAGGTTTGCTGGCATCATTTTGATGAACAGCACAGGTACACTTTGTGAGTTTTGTAATGCAGAGATAGTTACTGACATTTACAGCTGTTGAGAACGTCTGAGCCATCCTTCCAGAATACCCACAGATGTTACCTATCATGTGCAATTTTATATTCAAGGACAAGCTCTCAAAACAAGCCCTATGCTTCCCTTTTGTTATTTTATAATCGTGCCTCCTATGACTACAAGAGTGTTTCATTTTTCTGGTGGTGTTGAAGTATCACCATGTAAACATCGTGATTTGCAGTTATTTTTAATAACTAGTTTCTAATTTAATGAGTTTTGAAATATTTAAAGTTTTAACATTTGAACTATCTAAATAATATTTAGATAATAATAAATAATAATATTTATTTCATATTTCAGCATTTCCCCCAAAACCTAATACTTAACATATATTTAAATAAAGGACGAGTTAAGCTTTCTGAGACTTGGTAAGTATCCAAATTGCAACCATTAGGCAATTCCCAACATTAGAAACAGATGTTAGAGAAATGCTGTTCTTTATCTCGCAAACTTCCTGCAGATGAGATGTGCTTGTTAACAAACTGTTAGAAAATCGTTTGAATTTCCTAGTAAATGACAACTGACACTTGGAATTGGTGTGTTTTTCAAAACCTTACTAAAAAATGTTCAGAAGCTATTGTAAAAAAAAAATAACATAAGATTCGTAGTCATACATACACTACAAAAACTCATTCTCCACAAAAATCAGAGTGCTGTTCTCGGGGATGGTTTTCTGATATCAAAAGTGAATGTTTGAGCATATAACATGAGCCAGGACTCCATGAATATTTTGATTAGAAGATTCTCTAGGACCTAAGTTTGCCCAAGACTACTCATTTGTTTCCACTCTCCTTTTGCTCTTTAAGGATGTCATTTGATGGCAAAGTGATTCCTTTTTCTTTCCCTTTTGGTCTTTTTGGGACAGGCTCCCAAGCTTGTTATCCCTCTGCCTCAGTCTCCTGAATGCTGGGCTTACAGGTATGGACCACCACCCCAGGCTTATTGTGGTTTTAGCAACCCTACTAGGTGCACAGTGGTTTCTCACTTTGTTTTAACTTGTGCCTCTCACCTCTCTCTATTGCTGCAGTGTCTCTTGCAGGCAGATCTCTGTTTTAGGTCACAGCATTTGTAGCTGGGTGAGAGTGACAGCTGATTACTTTGCCCCTCCAGTAGTGTGCAGAATGTACCTCTACAAGCTTGGCAGCAAGCGCCTTTATTTACTCAGCCATCTTGATAACCTAATATTCTTTCTCTTATCCTTAATTCTGGTAATTTGAGTCCTCTTTTACTGATTTCTTGGTCATTCAATGTGGCTAGAGGTCCTCAAATCTTTTCGTGTTTTTAATCTAGATGGACAGCAGCTTGCTTTCTCCATGTTCCACATCAGTAAGCAGTGTCTATAGCAGCCATCAGGTTGTGCAGAGTAAACAATAGCCTTGGAAGTAGCTTGTGATATTTTGGATGGTCTGTGAGATCCTTGGCCAACAATATTCCTGGCACTGGAGGTTTTATTTTGTGGCATGAGCTGTCTAGTTTGGGCATTGTCTCTCTCATTACATGGTGGCTCCATTTAAGTTCTTTTTATGTATGTATATATTTTAGAAAGTGTTAACAGTAGTGGGTTTTCATAGGGCTGTTTGATAAGTCCTTGTTGTTAGTCCCCCTTCCCCACCATCTCCTCCTCTCCTCTCCCCCTTCCCAAGGCCCCATTCCTATGCTAATTGCCCCTGTTTCTCTATGTCACTACACTCACTTCCCTTCCTTAGAAGACCCTCTTTTTCCCCAATCTTGGTCACTCTGGCTAGTGTTTGTTTGTTTGTTTGTTTGTTGTTGGTTTTGCTTTAATTGTTTTAAGAAACTAAATACTTTTTCAATATTTAAATCTATTTCTATGTCACTTACTGATTCTTACTTTGTTTAATTAAAGCAAGGTTCACATAGCACATGAATGTAACCATTTTAATTGTCCAACTCAGCCTCATTGGTTCAGTCAGCCAGACCCAACCCTGCTTAGCTTCCGAGATCAGACAGAACTGCATGCCTTCAGGGTGCTATGGCCTTAAGTAATCACTGTATTTTTCAGAATATGTTTATTACCCCATAGGAAGCCTTAGGCACTCGGTCAACTGTCACTCACTCCCTTTCCCAGAGACCTATACACCTGATACCTTTCCCTTTGCTTATTTTCAGCTTAATTTTTATTTTTCTTAAACTAGAATTTGGCACATTGACGTGTGGCACTGCCCCTTTTTTTTAGTTGGTAACACGCTACTTTTAAATGTTTCTTTAACTTACAGCTGGTTTTCAAATGTGTGACTTTCTTATTATTTGAAGGTTATTCCAAACATCTTTGTTATTGACTTGTATTCTATAAAACAATATTCTACATAATTAGGCACTTTTATGTATCTTGACTTGTTTCATAGTGGATGTTTTGTATGCTGTTGAAAATGTGTATTCTTTTGTGTTCTACAAGTCTTGTGAAGTAGATTTGGTTGACAATGATGTTTAAGTTTGTTTATTTATTGATCTTGCTGTGTTGGCCAGGCTCTTCTGCAACTCCTGAGCTGAAGCACTCTTCCTCTCAGCTTTCTGAACAGCTGGGGCTACTGTCACACAATAACACACCCAGCTTCAAATCTATTATATTCTTTTCATTTTGTGTCTTATTTGGTCTATTAGTTATTG